TTTGTTTGGGTAATTCCTTCTGTGCGGTATATATGTATGCTCCTGGTTCATAACTCCCACAGCCCTTGTTATTTCTCTGTGGCCAAGGCAGGCCATAGAAACTAAAAACAGGCTCTAACCTCCCCCTTTCTGTGTTGGAGCTGGCCATAAAGAAATTCTCTGACCTGCCTTGTTTTTTGTGGGTTTTTTTTTTTTTCTTTGAGACAGGGTCTCACTTTGTTGCCCAGGCTTCGTGAAGACAGTGGTGCAATCATAGCTCACCACAGCCTCAAACTCTTGGGCTCAAGGGATCCTCCTGCCTTAGCCTCCCTGGTAGCTGGGACTACAGGTGTGCACACCAAACCCAGGTAATTTTTCTGTTTTTGTAGAGATGGGGTCTTGTTATGTTGCTTGCGCTGTTCTTGGACTCCTGGCCTCAGGCAGTCCTCCAGCCTCAGCCTCCCAAAGTGCTTAGGGTTATAGGTGTGAGCCACTGCACCTAGCCTCTGACGTACCTTGTTTGATTGTGGGTCATAGACCCCCTTTTCAGAAGAAGTGCTGCCCCATACCCTGGAGGAAGTAGTGCTACAGAGAGACGCCAAGAAGGATCTGAACAGACAGGCCATGCTGTGTTTCCCCACTGGGTCTGCCAGTAGATCGGTCTCCAACCTTTTTGGCACTGGGTCAGGGGTAGGGGAAGTGGAGCTCAAGGCGGTGATGCAAGCTCCGGGCAGCGGCTGTAAATATCGATGAAGCTTTGCTTGTCCCCTCGCCTGCTGCTCACCTCCTGCTGTGCGGCCTGGTTCCTAACAGGCCACGGATCAGTACCGGTCCCTGCCCAGGGGTTGGGGACCGCAGTGTTAGTGCTAAACCATACTCTTTGTCCAATCACATTTCTACACGGTTGTCAATCATGCCTATCCAGTGAAGTCTCCATAAAATGGCCCAAGAGGACTGGGTTCAGGGGCTTCCGGATAGCTGAACACATGGTTCCTGGAGGATGGCACTGGAGTGGGGGCGGGGGCATGGAAGCTCCACCCCCTCCCCCACACCTTGCCCTACACATCTTTCTCTGTATCCTTTGTGATGTCCTTTATGAGGCACCAGTAAATGTGTTGCCCTGCGCTCTGTGAGCCGTTCTAGCAAGTTAAACACAAAGAGGGGGTCTTGGGAATCCCCATTTTCACAGCCAGCCAGTCAGTAGCACAGGCAAACCAACCTGGGGCTTTCGTTGGCCTCGGAAGTGGCGGGGGGACAGTCTTGTGGGACTGAGCCCTCACCCTGTAGGGTCCTCTGCTACCTCCAGGTGGATAGTCTCACATCGAATCGGAGGACAGCCTGCCGGTGTCCGCTGCGGAATTGCTTAATGGGGAGAAATCCCCACGTGCTTGGTTCCAGGAGTCTTGCGTGTTGATTGTTGTGGTGTGAGAGCAGAGGAAAACGGTGTGTTTTCTACGCACTTTCATGTGCCACACAATCCAGAGAGTGCAGAAGGATGTCCTCTGGTCCCTCAGAAGAGCTACTTGCTGTTCAGTTTATGATAGACTTGTAAAGGTTTGCAAATAATTATTATTTTTTTTTTTTTGCAATTCATAGATACAAGATCTAAACAGAGAAGGCTCAGAGGGCTTCTTGGCTCAGGGGCCTGTCTTCGATTTCCAGGGCGGCAAGTGCACTTCACTGGGCTCCCCAGACCCTCAAGCTGCCCACTCTCCCCGGGCTGCATTTTCAGTTTTGACATTTGCATTTTGTAGTTTTATTTGAGCAGCGTTCATTTTTTCGGTAAACCGTATTGCTTTTGAGCCTGTGATTTTAAAGATTACTCTGTTGTGGTTTTTATTATACACCACATAGTTTCGTGGGAATGCACATTTGAGTTTATATCGGAGGGCACTGGGAGAACTGGTGTTTGAATTGGGGAAATCTTCCTCAGCCGTTTTCCAGATACTTCTCTCCGTGCTCCGGAAGGGCCTGCCCCGCAGTCTCTGCTGCGGTCTGGGAAGGTGGCAGGAAGCGTGTGGCTGTGGAGGGATGAGAGGTTCCAGTGAGCACCAGGCACGGCTGCGGGTGGGGGACACACCGAGGAGAACAGGGCCCCACAGCCAAAGCCAGGGGCAAGGGAGAGCGCAGGGTCTGGTGTGGCACCAGCCAGAGTGGAAGCTCCGCCTGCCCTGTGGCCCTCAGCACTGTCCTCCCTGAGCCCAGATGCCGCCGCAGGGGTGGGTGGACGCTGAGGGAGGGCTTTGCCCCATGGGCTTGTACCCATGTGAGCTCAGCGGTAAGGACGTGGGATTCCAGAAATAGAACTTTTGCACTTTAGGAGACTGTAGAATTAGATCTAGTGATTTTGATGAAAAAACAGGCCAAAGGAAGGCAGCGCCTGCATCCCCAGAGATGGAGTGTGTGCGCGTGCACGCCGAGGCTGGAATCCGCAGGCGTTCAGGCGACTCACTGAGTGAAAAGGAGCTTGTCTTCTTGGCCTACTCAGAGCGTCCCAGGGCCTGGCCAGTTGCCCGTGAGCAGAGTCACCGCAGAGCACGGCGTTGGGCCGCTTGGTGGACAGTGGTGCCATCCAGAGGCACCCCAGAGAGAGCGCTCATTCTGGGAGTTTGTGGCAGGCGCCGGAGCCTGTTCCAGCAGAGCGTACTGGAGCGTTTTCCACACACAAGCAAAGCCCTTTGAGGAAGGCTGCCTTTGTCTCCCACGCAGGAGGGCACCCGGTGGGCTGGCAGCACCCTGGGCAAGGACCCCCGGGGCAGCTCTGAGAGGCACTGCTGCTCCCTGTTCTTAACCCTGTGCTGTCAGAATTCACTCTGGGGCAGGGGGTGGGAGAGTCATGCCAGGGTCCTAGACTTAAGCCCTATCCCTCCTTTTTTTGGACTTCATGTCTTCAAAGCAGGCACTCAGAAGAGCAGTTGTATAATCTGAGACAACTTGGGAAGATGTTCTGCCTCCTGGTGGTCAAAGCAATGCATATAAAAATAATCAAGTGTCATTTTAACATTACAAATTAGCGGTAACAGTAGTATTGAATGTTGGCGCTATAAATTGGCATCATCCTTTTAAAAAGGCATAAAATGTCCATACCCTTTGACCCAGCAACCTCACTTCTGGTGAGTTCAGCCCGAGGAAATAATCCAAGAAAAGAAAAGAGCGTTAGCCAGAGGTGTTCTGAAAGCAAGGATTCTGAATGCCCTACTCCGCGTTGGCCAGGCAGGCCCATTTTATGGAATGTTAAAATTGATGGTCATGGCGTCTGGCAAGATGGAGGATGTGTGACACAATTGGATTTAGAGCTTTTGTGACAGCAGCTATGTAGAAGTACAGGTGCCTCTGCATCTAGACTGGCAGGGACATGTGGGGACTGGCTGCAGTAGGGTGGTAGGATTGAGTCATTTTGTTTTCCTTCAGTTTTTTTTTTAAATAACATTTTTATTAACATAATTTATATACCGTACAAATCCATCCATTTAAAGTGCAAAACTCCATGGTTTTTTAGTATGTTCACAAAATTGTTCAACCATCACCATGGTCAGCTTTATAACATTTTCATCACCCCAAAAGGAAATTCCATATTGCACAGTTATACCCCCTCTCCCCCTCTCCTCCTGCCCCCCTCCCTCCAGCCCCACGCAACCACGAATGTACTTAACGTGTCCCAGGATTTGCCCATTCTGGACATCTCATGTAAGTCATACAATTTGTGTCTTGTATGCCAGTATGTCATTCCTTTTTATGGCTGAGTACGACGCCACTATATGGATAGACCACAATCTGTTTATCCTTTCGCTTGTTGATAGACAGTAGGGGTGTTGCTACTTTTTGGCTACTGTGGATAATGCTACTGTGAACATTTGTGTACAATTCTTTGTGGGGTAGGTTTTCATTTCTCTTGGGTAGATACCTAGGGGTGGAATTGCTGGGTCATCTGGCAACTCCAGGTTTGTTTTGAGGAACTGCCGGGCTTCTTTCCACAGGGGCTGGCCCCCAGCAGTGCATGAGGTTCCAATTTCTCTACATAATGCCTGTTACTGTCTTTATTTTCGCCCTCCTTGTGGATATGAGAAAGTATCTCATTGTGGTTTTGATTTCTCTTATGAAAAGACGTTCAATGTTTTCCCATGTGCTTTTTGGCCATTTGTTTATTTTTCAAGAAATAAATCATTTGCCAATTTAAAAAATGGGTTATTTATCCTTTTGTTATTGAGTTGTAAGAGTTCTTTATATATTCTAAATACAAGTCCTTTAACAGATACGTGAATTGTAAAACGTGATGCTGTACTTTGAAGTACAACTGTTTTTAATTTTGGTGATGTCTAATTTATGTTTTCTTTCTTTTTCGCTTGTGCTTTTGGTATTGTATCTAAGAAACCACTGCCTAATTTGAGGTCATGAAGATTTATGCCTGTTTTCTTCTAAGAGTTTTATAGTTTTAGCTCTTTGATCTATTTCCTTTAGTTTTCAAACTGTCATGTGTTGCTTTATGGTTGAACCCAAGAGCTTGGACTTGGTCCCTCTGGCCCTGCCACTGACTTGTTAAACAATATTTAAAGATACGAACCGCAGGCTCCTTCTCCCCTCCATCCCACGTGGGTGTGTCAGCGCTGGGCTCCAGGAGGGCTGCTTTTGTACTGCTGAGATTCATTTTCTAGTTCACATTATTTTACTACTTCCAGTTAAGAAAAGGTAACTGAACCCCACTTCAAAATACTATTAAAGTTTAGTTTTTTATGACGCTCCTCCCCAGTGCGGGCGGGCGTGCAGGGAATTGGGTGAGGAAGAGATGAGGAAAGTGCGGCACTTTCTCTTCCCCCCAGGCATACGAGGCTGAGGGGAGCAGCAGGGCCACAGCCCGTCCTGTGGCACTTTTCCACGCGTGGGATGCAGACGGCGGGGCGCAGAGGACCCAGCCTTGGCCTCCAGTCTGACATTCTCCGGGGAGAGAGAGGGCAGAACTGTGAGGCAGGGAGGGGAGGACAGCGGGCAAATGGGGGGAAGGGTGGGGCTGAGGCGCTGCCTCTCCTTCCCCTCAGACAGCTCCCCTGCCTGTCCCAGCCCTGTCCCAGCCGTCGGGCTAGCAGCTGAAGGAGCCTCACCTGCCTCCCTCCCCTGAGCACCAGGCTTTGAGGTAAGAAATCTTCCAGAAGCCCTCCCCCCCCGCAGACCGCAGCAGCCTCTGGTGGAGGTTGGCCCAGTGTCTCCTCTGTGGCCACCTCAGTGCCCCGTAAAAGAGGGGAGAAGAGGGCAAGGTGCCAGAGTGCCCCCACGTGGAAGCCTGGATCAGGTTCCCACGGTGGCTCTGGGCTGAGTTACACCTGGGTCCTGGCAGAGCCCAGCCCTGTTCTTCCCACAGCCTGGAGATTTCTCTGGAGGAAAGTAAAAGGCGGCAGCTCAGGCACCTGAGCCCCAGGGCAGGGGACACATGCGGGAGGAGCCACAGGAGGCCGTGTGTGCTCGGGCTCAGCCCAGGGTGCCTCTGAAGATGGCCACATGCCTTGTGCAGTGGCCCTGACGACTGCCCAGGGCTCGAGTGGGCAGCAGGGTGGCTGGGAGCTTAGCTGATGTCTGGGTTTTCCTTCCAGGTCCAGGAGAAGCAGCAGAGATGTCGAATGAGCCGCCGCCCCCTTATCCTGGGGGCCCCACAGCCCCTCTTCTGGAGGAGAAAAGTGGAGCCCCGCCCACCCCAGGTAGGGGTCCCCTCCTTAGGCTCCCTGCCTTGGTGTGGTTGGGGCCCTCTAAGCAGTGATCCGAGCTCTGCTCCAGGAGCACCCTGGGCCCCTTCTGTGTCCCACAGTGGTGGCATCTAGTCCAACCTGTGCCAACTCCAGCTGAGCCTCCTCTTCTGCCCTCTGTCCAGGCCGCACGCCCCCAGCTGTGATGCAGCCCCCACCGGGCATGCCGCTGCCCCCTGCAGACATTGGCCCCCCACCCTATGAGCCGCCGGGTCACCCAGTGCCCCAGCCTGGCTTCATCCCCCCGCATATAAATGCAGATGGCACCTACATGCCTCCAGGTGAGCTGGGAAGGGATCTGAGGGAGGATTAGGTGGCCGGTCACCGTGCTGGCTGTCGTGGGTCAGTGAGGCAGAGGCTGCAAACACGCCCGACCAGCCCCAGCCTGGAGCCCAGGCCGTACGGACAGGGCCTTTGCATGTGGGAAGGCGGAACAGGCAAGGCACCACGCGGCCCTCCCCAGGGACTGCTGTAGGGCTGCCTGGGTCAGGGCTGGCCCTCAGCACACCAGGACCCGACACGGGTGGGGAGAGAGCCCCATGTGCAGGAGAGGGGCTGGTGGGTGGCAGGGCTTCCCCTCCTGTAGTCATGGCCCTCAGGCGCTGAGCACCCAGTCCCTGCGTGCCAGAGCTGCCTTGTTCCCCTGGGGTGGGGACCAGGAAAAGCTGGGGGAATGTGGATGTCACCTTGATTCAGGGCCCTGGCCATGAGGCCTCCCACTGGAAGTTTCAGGCCTTGCCCTGCTCCCTGCGCGCCACAGGCTTTGTGCTTACCTAACATCTGGGACAGGTGGCAAGACTGACCTTGCTGCTCTCTCTCCTGTGTTGTTCCCAGGTTTCTACCCTCCTCCAGGTCCCCACCCACCCATGGGCTACTACCCACCAGGGCCCTACCCGCCGGGGCCCTACCCTGGCCCTGGGGGCCACACAGCCACTGTCCTGGTTCCTTCGGGGGCTGCCACCACAGTGACAGTGCTGCAGGGAGAAATCTTTGAAGGCGCGCCCGTGCAGACAGTGTGTCCCCACTGCCAGCAGGCCATCACCACCAAGATCTCCTACGAGATCGGCCTGATGAACTTCGTGCTGGGTTTCTTCTGCTGCTTCATGGGGTAGGTGGTGTGGGCGCTCACAGGGCGGGGGCTGTGCCAGGGTCTGACGTGCCTCTGCCCCTTCCCTTCCAGCCTCAGCTGTCTCTGTCTCTGGTTCAGGTGTGACCTGGGCTGCTGCCTGATCCCCTGCCTCATCAATGACTTCAAGGACGTGACGCACACGTGCCCCAGCTGCAAAGCCTACATCTACACGTACAAGCGCCTGTGCTAACGCAGCCAGGACTCAGGACCCCCCGCCTGTCAGTCTGGCCCCCTGTGCTTTGCTCCCCATGCTCAGTGTCACTTCCCTGCTCCCACTTGGGGTTGGAAGCCATGCCACCGTCCCCTGGAAGTCTTGTTCTCTTCTCCTTGCCCTTCCCTGAGCACCTGACTCTTCAGCAAAAGTTCTGTTGGATTTCAGGCCAAGGGTCAGTGGCGGTGGGGCTGAGCTCGTGTGCCACCTGCTTGGTGTTTGTGATCAGGCAAGTAAGCTGGAAGGGGGATCCCGCTGGGGTCCTTGTTCCTCCGTTTCTGTACGAGGTACAGGTCCAGTCCCAACCCTTCCTCCGGGGGACCAAAAGCAGCCAGAGCCATGGTCATCTCCCCAGGCCCGGGCCCCATGGTGGGGCTGTGCCTGTAGCCACAGTCATTTTTGACCTGCTGGGCCAAGAACGGAGAAGTCGTCTGGAATCAGGTGGGCCCAAGCCGGACAGGGTTGTAAGGCCTGGGTTTGTTTCTGGGGTACGTTGTGCCTCTGGGGTGCTAGAGGTGAGGCGTGACAGGAGTGATGACTGCCACCTCCAGCCCTCAGAACTCTCAGGTATAGAAACCCAGGACCCCCAACACCGTGCCCAGGAGCCCTGCGTGTAAGGTAGAGAAGACACTGGGTGAGCGATTGGGCCCTGGTAGCCAAGAAGGAACGCACTTGCCTCTCGCCCTCTTCGAGTCAGCGGGCAGACCTCCTTTCTGGCCACGCCTGTGTGAATCCCGCATTGCTGGGGCCAGAAGGAATGCCCGTGAGCGCACCCTGGTCCGTCCACCCTGTGTCCTCACTGCGTGTGGGTGTAACTTCAGCACAGGGGCTGGTGTGTCCCAGCTGGGACAGGACATGGCAGAGAGGAGGGCCTCCTTGTGGGTGTGCCCGGATCTGCAGTGCTGCCCCATGAACCTGTTTCCAGTAAGCACTGCGCCGCCTCCCGCTGCTGGGCCTTGGCAGGACACACCTCTGTGCTGGGCTGGGGACAGGCTGGAGGAATGAGCAGCCACCAGTGGTGGACACCAGCCCTGTCCTGCCCTGGGCCTGAGCCCAAACCTGTCTTTATTTCCTGAATGGTTTGTTTGTGAACTTGCTCACCTGGACCGCTCTATCCTGCCGCTGTCCCACTCCTGGTCTCGCACTGCCACTGCATGGCCTCCTGTCACTGTGAACCGTGGCCCGGTCTGTTTGTAGTTTCTCATTAAATCGGCCCTTTCACTCCCTGCCCTGGGCCTCTGCTCTCTTGCCTGGCTTCCTTCTTTTCTGAGGGAGAGAGGGTGGGGCTCCAGGTCCACAGGCAGGGTACTGCGCCCTCAGGGTCTTGACACTCAGTGCTTATGCAGTGCCACCTGCCCAGGGACAATGCTGACAGACCAGAGGTAAGGGTAGACTAGCCCTGGGCATTCCAGCTGTGACAGGCCAGGGCACAAGTTGGCCTAAGCAGTGGCTGTTAAGGTCACCTCTGCTACTGGTCTTAGCCATCTGTCTCCCCATGTGGGGGATCTGCAGGCTGGAGCCCCCAGCAGCTCGAACTATAGGGGGTCCCTCTCATTCCCTTAAACAAGGTGGCCACCGGGCTGAGGCTGACCGTCTGAAGGTCAACAGGGCACAGTGTGGGCCCTTGGGTTCTGGGCCAGCTCTGGCCTTGGCCCTCCCTGAGCCTGCTAACTTAACTGAGCTGTGAAGGTGGAAGTCTTGTTGGTAGTTTAAAAAGTTTCCCTACCTCTTAACCCTTGTTTGAATAAAACTTTTGCAGGTAATAGATTCCTATTAATAAAAATATGTTAAGTTCACATTTCTATTTCAGACAATGAATTATTTAAATACAAGTGTATTTAAGTAGGAAACCTCCAGGGTCTTTCTGACTAAAAAATCATAGACCAGAAGACAGAGTGACTCTGCCCTGGAGACGAGGGTACTGGAGGTGACCAGCAGTGCTGGGTAACACGTGATGGCACAAGGACCTCCACTCCCCACACACAAACGCACCCTTGCTTCACAGGGACTCTACTCCCCACTGGAGAGGACACCTGACCCACCCTGTGCCAGGAAGAGGGAAGGAGACAGCTTGCGGAGTCCACTTTATTGACTGCTGTAGCATTTACACAGGTCAGAGGAGACGAGCCATGGCTGAGCAAGCCTCTTGGGCTTCTGGGTGGGAGGGGGAGCGCCTGGCTTCTGCCCACCCCACCCCTAGAGAGGACCAGAAGTTGAGCAGCAGCATCTGGAAAGGCCCCCCTCCCACAGCCGCAGCCCGGCCGTACTGGCCACTCACCCCTGCAGGGGAAGCTGGCCGCTCAAGTTCTGCAGAACAGAGGCAGGGAGGGCACGAGCCTGGGGCTCAGACATGTGGCACCCAGGGAAGAGCTGGTGTAGAAGCCCAGGCCCGCCCTGCCACGCTGCACTAGCTGCTCCCTGGGCGACAGCCTGTGCCCAGTGAGCATCCGGCCCATTGAGAGGATGCTGTCAGGCAGAAGCTCTAGCGTCTGGCTTTTATTGGTTGCCTGTCTCAAACCCAGCGTTTTAAAAAAGTCACCTGAGGTGGTAGTTTAGTCAGGGGTCGAAATGGTGGTGGGCCAGTGGTCACTTGGGAGGAGGGTGCCAGCACGGCGTCATGGGTCCTTCACATGTACCAGGCCAAGAGTCCAGCAGCCAGGGCCACGCCGGCAGCCAGAAGGAACTGGAGGCTGGGCTTCCTTAGCACAGCCATGGCTGTCCAGAAGGGGCAGCTGCTGCCCTCCAGGGCACCTGCAGGGCAGCACCCATAGGAGACATGGCATCAGTGGGGGCCACTGACTGCCCGCCCCAGGTGGGGAGCTCGGACACACAGACCTACCTTTGTCTTGTTGAGCAGTGTAGTAGGGGCACTTCCGCACGTCTCCTTTCCCATCATGCACGGGGAGCCCGTCCTCCAAGGTCTTTCTGGCAAGCGCAGAGCCAGCCTGGTCCAGTTCGTTGAATATCTGCAGGAGCAGGGGATCGACTGAGCCACATCCCTGCAGTGTGTCCACACTGCTTCCAGAGCAGAATCTCTGTCCCGCGAGCTGAGCAGCTGCGCTTGCTCAGGAGTGCAGCTAGCAAAGCGAGCAGCCCAGCGTGGTGGCTGCGCTGCCTGGCATGTCTCCTGAGCACAAACTTTGGGGAGGTGGGGCCCCCCTGTGCTGCTAGCACCCCAACAAAGCTGCCAGCTGTGGTGGGTGTCCCTTGGGAACTGACCTGACATGTACCCCATGCCTGGCCTTCTCTGAGAGAGCTCAAGCCACTGAAACCACCAGGACACAGGAGAGGGCACAAGTATATCCCCATTTCTAGCTGCTAGTTATTTTTTTAGCAAGAAACAATAGAAAAATAGGATTATGGGAGAATGAGGCCCCAGCACGGCAGACCCATCCTGAGTGGCCCCAGGAGGCCTCAACGGAGGGCTGACAGGGTCTGTGCTCAGCTTGGCACTTCACCTGCCCATGGCCACTTTCCCTGGGGATCTGGGGACAGGATCAGTCTCCCCAGGCTCAGCCCCATCTAGAAGCTATTTGTAAATAGTTATTCTCCTTATTCTCTTTGGTAAAACTGGCTCTCCCTGAACTTACCAAGCAGAGCTGCTCAGAGCTAAAAAGGAGGAAATTATCCACTCCTCAAGACCAGCGTCCTGTGGTGAGGAAGGACACAGCTCCATTCACCCAGACCCCTCACCCTTCCCCAAAACACTACCCGTGGCATCTCTCAGACCAGGCCTTCCGTGCTGGGACCCATCCACTGGGTCTGTACCCTGTGGTGGTCAGTCTGCTTCCTTCAGCTTTCTCCCAGCACACTGCGGCCCATCTGTCCTAACACCACAGACACCCTCCTGGGCAGCTCTGGGTTTGCTCCCACTGTCAAAGGTTCCCTTTGTGGCCCAGGCACCCGGCAGTACCTGTATGTTGTACTGGAAGGCCTTGATGGCCTCTTCCACGATCCTCTCTTTGGTCTTCAAGTTGAGGTCCAGGGCGTTCATCCTGGCCCGGTAGAACTGCTTGAACTGCTGGGCATTGTCCACGTTCTCGAACAGGTAGAACTGGGTCCCTTCCCCTGTGCTGGGGAGTTTCAGGGCTCGCTGAGCCACCTTCTTCAGCACCTGGCCCCCCGAGAGGTCCCCCATGTAGCGTGTGTACGCATGGGCCACCAGCAGCTCTGGCTCGTGCTGCCCTATGTAGTGGATCCGCTCCACGTACTTTTGGGCGGCCTCAGAGCACTGCACCCGCTCCTCCCAGTTGTCACCAAAGAAATACTGCATGTCCTTGGTCAGCGCCTCCTTCCGGTGCAGCTCCGTGGGGAAGTACAAGGGGGCAAAGCCTGGGTGGTCCTTGTTGCGGTCCATTTCCTCCTCGAGGGCCGAATACGTGAAGTACAGTGCAGTGGTGGCCAGCTGTGGGGCGACGGGGGAGGCTGTGGGAAAGGGCCGCGGGCACGGCGGCAGCACCCGAGCGGCTGGGCACAGAGGCTCAAGCAGTCCCCTGAGACCTAATCCTATGCTGGTTTTGTACAGTGAATTATTTCACACACCCAGGAAGCTTTACATTTAAAGGAATGACGTGGTGAATTCTTTCCAACAGGAATACTTCTGCTTCCTTTACGTCACTACGTTTGTTTAAGCCGTGAGAGCCACAGCTTAACGTCAAGAAAGAATGGAGTGGTGGGAAAAAGCCAGCTTCTCCCTCAGAGTGGCTCCAGGGGCGCCTTTCTCATGGGCCCCCAGCCCCACATGAAAGTCTGGAACCCAACCTCATCCATGACCAAGGGGCACAAACCTTAAATAGCTCCTTCTTAATGTTGCCCTTCAAGAAGTCCTTGACAAACTGGGTGTTTTCTGCCTGGTCATGTGCTTCCTTGGTCCCTTCCTTCAGGAGCTCGGAGAGGTCAGCCATTCTGTGGAGACGGGATGTACGTGCATGTGCGTGTGAGAGAGAATCGGCCCTTCCCAGCTCCCGAGTGAGGACCACAGGATGAAAGACGAAGTCCAGACCCCAGGGTGACCACATGCTGGACTGCAGGCAGGGCTGCTTAGACCCGTCACTCAACACAAATGGCAGAGCCTTGTCAGGGAACGCAGGGCAATCACACATGGCAGTCTGCCCCGATGACTCAGGAGACAAGGGATGACTGTGGCCGCTGCCTCAAAAGTATCCTTATCTGTGTGTCTGTGTCTGCTGGGAACCAGGCAAATGAATGATGCTTTGCTTCTGTGGCCACCTGATGGCCACAGAAACACACATCTTTAATCTGCCAGTGTTTGCAGGTTTTCCCAGGGAACAGTTTGCCTCTGGGAACGTGTCCTCCTGGAATCCACACACCTCTGTAAAGGGCTGTGACGGTGGCTCTCCTGGGGTGGCCCTGCTGCCCTCCTCCCACCTTGAACCCACAGCCTCTTCAGGGCTACATGTGGCTAGGCGTAGGAGAATGAGAAGAAGTCAATGAGAGGCTGGGGCCAGGACCTTGGGTTTGGGCTGCTTAACAAGATTACACAGGATAGGCCAGGCGCAGTGGCTCACACCTGTAATCCTAGCACTCTGGGACACCAAGGTGGGAGGATCGCTTGAGCTCAGTTCGAGACCAGCCTAAGCAAGAGTGAGACCCCGTCTTTACCAAAAAGAAAAAGGAAAAAAAAAAGAAAATGTGTGATCCTGGCCAGCTCGGTGGCTCATGCCTGTAATCCCAGCACTTTGGGAGGCTGAGGCAGGAGGATTGCCTGAGGCCAGGAATTTGAGACCAGCCTGGACAACATAGTGAGACACCATGTCTATAAAAAATAGAAAAATTAGCCAGAGAGGGTGGCGTATGCCTGTAGTCCCAGCTGTTCAGGAGGCTGAGGCAGGAGGATCATGTAAGCCCAGGAGTTCAAGGCTGCAGTGAGCTATGATTGTACCACCGCACTCCAGCCTGGGTGACAAAGTAAGACACTGTCTCAAAAAAAAAAGTAAACATGATCCTAAAAGTGGCGGCTCCTCGGCAGGGGCTCACATGTCCACATGATCCATCTACTAGAGCAAGAAAAACTGGGCCCTCTCATGTTCCAACATCTGCTGGCTTCTTTAGATTAGCTCGTATCACCCATGTGCCAAGAGTCAGTTTATTACCAGCAGTTGTTTCACAGAGCTTTGCCAGTGACAGCGCTGTGTGAGAGGCTAAGAACAATGCACAACAGGGCCCAGCAGTTTGAGGTTTGGAGTGAACTGGTCCTACACAGTAGAAAAAAGCCTGCCCTAGAGTTAGAGTTCCTCCCGCATTTTAAGTGGTAGAAGACACTGTGAAAAGAAGACAGCTTGTCCCTGATTACCCTTTCTCAGCCTAGATGAAAAACTTAGGTTTTTGAGAGGAAAAAAGGAGAAGTACTACCATCAAATCCTATCACTCGTACTCCCAGCAGCACCTGCCTGCCTCCTTGGCTAAGATAACGGAATAGAACAAATGGGGACAGTGCTGAGCAGCCGGGGCTGTACACGGTCCCCGCTGTGCTAACCAGGCAGCCGGGGTCCACAGCTCATGGCCCATGACTGCTCCCAGCGCCAGTAGCAAGGAAACCAGGTGTGCTGAGCACGGCAGGCACCACCCCACCTGGCTCAATGCAGCCAGCACCCACTGCTCACCTGGTGTGGTTTTCCTTTTCCGAGGTCCTAGAGTTCTTTTTCTCTGACTCGTCTACCCCCTCTGAGGTCTCCACTTCCACTGACATTGTTGCGAAGGGCAGTACTTGCTGCTCTCGCTCCTCTCGTCCTGTAGAGACACAAGGAGCTGGTAAAGGGGCACCCAGAGCAGTCACCTCCCCCAAATCCCTGCAGGTTCTGCTCTCTGAGCCAATGTAACCAAGGTGACACCCACACACCCCAGGATTGCTTTCCTTAAAAATAAAGCTTTGCAACTACTGGGACCACATCGGAATATGGACACTGTTATTGACACTGAGCTTGCTGGTTTTTAAATAACTATACTGTGATTATGTAAGAGAATGTCCTTGCTCCTAAGAAAGACAGAAGTAAAGAGGCACACTGTCTGCAGCTCACTGTCAAATGGTCCAGAGAAGCGTGTGCGTATGTGTACACACGCAGGTGGGGGACACTCGCAAGTAAGAAAGCAGATGAGGCCAGGTGAGGTGGCTCACGCCTGTAATCCTAGCACTCTGGGAGGCCGAGGCAGGCGGATTGCTTGAGGTCAGGAGTTGGGGACCAGCCTGAGCAAGAGCGAGACCCCGTCTCTACTAAAAATAGAAAAATTAGCCGGGCATGGTGGCGCATGCCTGTACTCCCAGCTACTTGGGCGGCTGAGGCAGGAGGATCGCTTGAGCCCAGGAGTTTGAGGTTGCTGTGAGCTAGGCTGATGCCACGGCACTCTAGCCTGGGCAACAGAGTGAGACTGTTTTGGGGGGTAAAAAAAAAAAAGCATATGAGACAAAATGCTAGCAGTTAGTGAATCTGGGTAAAAGAGGTACAAGAATTCCTTGTACTATTCTTACAATTTCCTGTATGCTTGAAATTGTATCGAAATAAAAAGTTACCAAAAATATTAAACAAAATAAAGCTTAAAAAAAAAAACCCAAAGCAGTAGCGGCAGCAGCAGCAGCAGCAGCAGCTCTGAGCTTGGAAAGCAACACACACATTCCACATCACACACGCTGCCCGTGAGAGGCCAGGCCTTTTGCAGAGAGGCCAGGCCTTTTGCAGAGAGGAGTGCCAGCAGGGCACCAGCTGGAACCTAGTTAAGCCAGGCCGTTCTCAGCAGCTCCCCTGTAGAGTACAGCAGCTCAAAGGCACCTTGACAAGCCTGCATCCGCTGCACAAGTCACCAAACGAGCAGACTGTCCCCAGGCCACCCAGGACTCTGCTGGGCTGAAGAAAATAAGTTGGCCAATCAATTCCCACTGCCTGCTGCAAGGGCTGAGCCTTCGTCAGCCAGGGAAATACAGTCCCGTAACACGACAAACTCATATCCATCCCTGGAGGCTTCTGCTCTGGCAGTGTAAGGGGCAGTCCATTTGGGGAATGTTCCAGATGAACAGCAGCACAGTAGCAACAACAACTAAGAAAGTAACTCACAAAGAGAACTATTGACAGGAAATCAGGCCAAACTGGGCCAAGGACAGAAACAGGTGTGGAGGGGGACAAAGAAATAAAAGAAACGGTCCTCAAAAGGCTAAAGAAGAAGAAAAAAACCAACCTCTACCTCCCCCCACAGGTTAACATATTGGCACATATCCTTCCCGTTTCCTCTAGATACCTAGTTACATTTTTTCTGTTATCTTTTGGGACATGGTTTACTGAGCAAGATCTTTCTGAACCTTCTCTCACCTTTAGATTTAACATCTGTACACTGGGATTAATTTCAGGAAGTGAAAGGAGAACAGATAGCACGATGCCTGCCACATGGTAAGCACTGAATAAATGTTAGATAACGATTGTACTTGTATTTTGACTGAGGCTTAATGATGTCTGAGAACGCTCAGAAAATAGAATATTCAGAAAATGGAACCTTCTCCTGGCTCCAAATCAGACATACTCTCCTCTGCAGTAACGCTGATGAACTGCACAGGACACAGCAGTCCAGAAGCACGGGACAGCAGGCAGTCATCACATGGAGAGAACAGTACGCAGAGAGGCTTCTGGGGGAAGGACCCTCAAAAACAGACGGAATTTGAGGGGGGCTAGGGGGAGGACCTGTAGCTCAGGGGAACAATATGAACAAAGCCAGAAATGGATGGTCCACAGAGATGGCATAACACGCCCAGCTGTGCATCCTCTTACCCAGGGGCCAGGGCAGGCTCTGCCAGCTCCGGAATAAGCCCCAGGGGGGCCTTCTAATGGCTTGTCCACACTGACCTTGATTTATAGACATCACAAGGAACGGCTATGCTCCACACCCTCGGGGACCTGAGAGCCAAGACTGGTCTCTGGCTGCTCAGTTCTCAGGCAGCAGAGAAGAGGGTGCTGGGAGGGGAGTGCTGGGCTGCCCAGAGGGAGGGGTACAGTAAAGGGTCCCAGAGCCTCTAGACAGGTGGTCGGAGCCCATGCTGAGGACACGCCCCAGGCACCCGAGGACTGTAGACCCCCTGATGCTTACAGGTGAAGTAAGGCAAAGACAAGGACAAGTGTGATCTCCTGCACAGGTTACCCACTGTGGTCACTTAGGTAAGCTTCCTGCCGTTCGCACCTAACTATTATGCTGCACAACAGTGAGTGTGTATGTAATTAAATCTGATCATTAACTGCAAGCTCTGGGAGTATAGTCTTGCTTAAGCAACAAAGTCTTTTCCTTCCCTTAAAAATACAAAAAGGGGGCCGGGCGCGGTGGCTCACGCCTGTAATCCTAGCTCTCTGGGAGGCAGAGGCGGGCGGATTGTTTGAGCTCAGGAATTCGAAACCACCCTGAGCAAGAGCGAGACCCCGTCTCTACTAAAATTAGAAAGAAATTAACTGGACAACTAAAAATATATAGAAAAAATTAGCCGGGCATGGTGGCGCATGCCTGTAGTCCCAGCTACTCGGGAGGCTGAGGCAGGAGGATCACTTGAGCCCAGGAGTTTGAGGTTGCTGTGAGCTAGGATGACGCCACGGCACTCACTCTAGGGGAACCGAGTGAGACTCTGTCTCAAAAAAAAAAAATACAAAAAGGGGCCTGGAGCGGTAGTTCACATCTGTAATCCCAGCACTTTGAGAGGCTGAGGTGGGAGGATCAATCACTTGAGGTCAGGAGTTAAAGACCAACCTAAGCAACATAGCAAGATCCTGTTGCTAAAAAAAAAAATAGAAAAATTAGCCAAGTGTGGTAATACCTGTAGTCCCAGCTGCTCGGGTGATGAGAAAGGAGGATTACTTCAGCCAGGAGTTTGAGGTTGCAGTGAGCTATGGTGACACCACTATACTCTAGAGCCTGGGCAACAGAGGGAGACCCTGTCTCAAAAAAAAAAAAAAAAAATACTGGGCAGGGTGGCTCACACCTGTAATCCTAGCACTCTGGGAGGCTGAGGTGGGAGGATTGCTTGAGGGTCAGGAGTTCGAGACCAGCCTGAACAAGAGCGAGACCCGCCCCCATCTCTACTAAATACAGAAAAAATTAGCTGGGCAACTAAAAATAGGAAAAAAAAAAAAATAGCTGGGCATGGTGGTCCGCGCCTATAGTCCCAGCTACTCGGGAAGCTGAGGCAGGAGGATTGCCTGAGCCCAGGAGTTTGAGGTTGCCATGGCACCACAGCATGGGCAACAGAGCGAGACGCTGTCTAAAAAAAAAAAAAGAAAGAAAGAAAAAGAAAAAAAAAACAAAGGGAAAGGGAAAGCTGGCTTCTACTGGTCCCACTTTGGCATTTTCTTAGCAGCACTTCATTTGTGCCATCTCTCTCCTCAGGCGCACCCTCTTCAACCTCACTTCTGCCTGCCAGCCCCCCAGTCCTTCCTCCCAGCCCATGACAGGCGAACTCTGGGCCACGCTGTCTTTTCCACTGCTGTAGCCTTCAGGGCATGGAAAATGCTAGATTCTCAATAAATACTTGTTGAGTAAAAACATTCAAAGCAAAAAAAAAAAAAAAAAAAACGGGGGGAAGAAAAGGAAGGAAGGAAAAGATTTCATGCATACCACTAACAATATGCGATTTAAAAAAATAGCAAAAATAATTTGCTGTTCACTACTTCTACGGTTTTCTAAAGTCAAAACTTGTTGCACCAATTTGACTAAGAAGGAAAGGGCAAGAATACTGAGCCCTCAAGGCGGCTGAAGGAACCATCCGTGTGAAGCTGGGGGTGGAGGGGACGAATGCTCCTAGGAAAGCTCAGCACATTCAAGCCACCCAGGCTGGTGCCGGGGAGGCGGCCTGTGTCCACCTCTGCAGCCTAGTCACTGTTCTTCAAGGGAATAGCCGTGTAGTGTGGCACTCAGAGGCACCTTGCAATGGCAGAAACAATTCTTCTCTTGGAAAAGCTCCACGTCCAAACTTAGTCTGGCTGACCTCTACACTTGAATGCTGTTTTCTTTTCAGGAACTACTGATAACCCTAGAAAACTGGGGGCCGAGTCATAAACGTAGAGCCTTTCTGGACTTTAACTTCTCACATCGACAAGAAGCTGCCCCGCAAAGGAAAAAAAAAAGATCCTAAAAGATTCCACTCTGAGAAATACACTTTGAGAAATATTAATAGTAATCTGTACCAAAATAATAAAGAGCCATACTATGCCATTAGGGAAAAATCACATGGCTTAACAACAAAGGGTAGGACTGCTCAAACGACAGTGAACAATGGAATCCTGGCACAGCCGGGACAAGCTGATAAGCTGCATTCACACATGGAAAAGTCTACACATACTTACTTAAAAAAAAAAAAAAAAAAAAAGGACCCAAAACACTGACTACAACTGTGTGCAGAAGTATGTAAGTTTACGGACAATGACAGGAGGGGAATTTGGAGAGCTGTAAATACTTGGTTTTTGTTGTAAATACTTGGTTTTGTTGTTAACTGGCTGCTGCTTTATTATATAAAGTGACTTCAATTCTCTTGGAAAGAAAAGGGGAAGAGGAGAAAAGAAGAGGAAGGGAAGGGAAAAAAGAAACCAAGCAAACCAGTGAAGATCCCACACTGCACTAAGCAGTCAACAGGAAGTCCCTGGGCCCTCTTTACTTTGCTATCAGTATACAAATTCCAGAAAGGTCAATCTGCCCTCTCTCTTTCCCATTTCCAAAAAACTGTGACCCTGTTTATAAAATCTACCTCTACTACTCCATAATTCCCATACTCG